GAATTTGGCTAAAATAGCATCACACTATTTTATGAATACTCAAAGAGTAAAAGGTTTTCAATATTCAAAGATGTGTTTACAATGGCAATAGGGCCTGGTTATATAGGCAGGGGGAATGGGGAAGAAATACTCAATACATTGAATGTAGACATAAGGAAACTTCCTAGCAACATCCTCTCTCAAAGCCTTGAAATATCAGCCATGTTTTAGGTCCTTTTATTGGAATAAAATCAGGGATGGGTGTGGTTGTAGGGTCTCCAATGAAAGGCAAACCAAGGGGAATGGATAGCATTCTTCTGGGCTGATTTGGGGGGGGGGATGTGTTCAGCCAACTAGGGAGGACAAAGGGAAAGGATAATGTGTGGTACTTTGGCTGCATATATGAGGATTTATTTGGTGGTTAAAGGGTTAAGAAAGTACCATGTTTCTCCTGGAATTTTATGGTTGTTTAGTGGGTTGTACTAGGGAACATAGTAGGGACCATGTTGGGTGGCTGTTGGAAGATGAATGGGGCTGTTTTGGTTTCCTATTGTGACCAGGGATTAAAATAGATAGAAGAGACTTTATTTTGGATATCAAAAGGAAATGAAATATATTTGGATGTTTAGGGTTGGGTTGGACGGAGTGGGGGTTGGCTAGCAGAACCCTTAGGTCAAAACGAAAGTTGTTTTGGCCTTTCGGGCTAAAGGACTTTGAATTCTCACTAAAATGGATCATAATGTTTGAACCTAAGTCCTTTAGTTTCCATGAGGGTTTGGGATATGGGGGAGGGTATGATAGGGTCGAGCCTAGATATATCAGTAGATAAGCTGAAGTTGAAGACCTCACCACACCCGAGGCCATACACGATTCAATGGTTGAACCATGGCAAGGGATTACGTGTGGATTCCTGTAGTTTGGTATCATTAAGCATTGGATGAAGTTATTCTGACGAGATATGGTGCGATATCATTCCAATGGATGCCTGCCATGTTCTATTGGGACGACCTTGGTTATTTGATCGGAAGGTGTTCCATGATGGATATGCCAACATATATTCATTCCTCATCAACAAGAAGAAGGTTACCCTCACATCCTTACCCCCCTCTAACCCCACAGCTACCCCCCATCCGAAGAAGAACCCCCGTTCTCATTTCCACCATATTGCAAGCCAAACACCATGAATATGAACCCCGAAAAGAACTGATTCTCTTTGAAAACGAAGCATCCGATTCCGCCACAACCTCAGTCCCACTTCACCCGTTAGCCAAGCCTATCGTTGAACAATTCTCCCATGTCTTTCCCGAAGATGTGCCTCACGGCCTACAACCAAAACGAGACATTCAACACAAGATTGATCTCATTCCTGGAGCTGCCCTACCAAACAAGCCTGCTTACCGAATGAACCCTGAGGAAACCAAGGAGATCCAACGACAAGTTGATGAGTTACTAGTCAAAGGATTCGTGAGAGAAAGCTTGAGCCCCTGTGTTGTTCCGGCTCTTTTGGTACCAAAGAAAAATGGTACTTGGCGTATGTGTTGTGATAGCCGAGCCCTTAACAAGATTACCATCAAGTATAGGTACCCCATACCTAGGCTTGAGGACATGTTGGATGAACTTCATGGATCCAATATCTTCTCAAAGATTGATCTCCGAAGTGGTTATCATCAAATTTGAATCTTTGAGGGAGATGAATGGAAAACAGCATTCAAGACGAAGTTCGGGTTATACGAGTGGCTAGTTATGGCATTTGGATTAACCAATGCACTGAGCACATTCATGAGGCTAATGAATCAAGTGTTGAAGCCATTTATAGGTCACTTTGTCGTAGAATACTTTGACGACATTTTGATCTACATCCGGAACGAGGAAGATCATGCTAATCACCTCACTTTAGTGATTAAGAAATTGGAAGAAGAGAAGTTATATGGAAACCTTGAAAAGAGTCAATTCTTTTCTCAAGAAACCGAGTTCTTGGGATACTTTATCTCAAGTGAAGGGATCAAAGTCGATGAGAAGAAAACACAAGCCATACGAGATTGGCCCGTTCCCACAACAATGCAGCAAGTTAGAAGCTTCCATGGCCTTGCATCTTTCTATCGGCAATTTGTGACGGACTTTAGTATGATCACTACTCCCCTCACGGACTTGACAAAGAATCCGAAGTTTGAGTGGAACTCGAGAGCCCAACAAGCCTTCGAAGCAATCAAGGATCGCTTAACGCATGCCCCCGTATTGGCCCTGCCCAGTTTCGAGAAGTTGTTCGAGGTGGAGTGTGATGCATCGGGAGTTGGCATCGGGGCTATCCTAACTCAAGAGGGACACCCGGTTTCCTACTTTAGTGAGAAGCTCAATGACACACGGAGACGCTATTCTACCTACGACAAAGAATTCTATGCGTTGGTACGGTCTCTTGAGCATTGGCGACACTATCTCGTGAGTAAGGAATTCATCCTTCACTCCGACCATGAGGCGTTGAAGTACATTCAAGGGCAGCACAAGCTTCGACCCCGTCATGCCAAATGGGTTGAATACATTCAAACCTTTACATTCACCATCAGGCACAAGAACGGGTCCATGAACAAAGGCGCGGATGCGTTGTC